ACTCCTCTGAGGCGGAAACACGGCTTCTCTGTGCTCTTGATGATGTCGGACAAAAATGTGACCACAGGCTCTTAAACAGGCTTTCCTCCAACAGAGAGCTCATCTGCCCACCACCTTGTAACAACTGGAGCCAAATTTCTGTTTCACTTTTACCAAAAGAGAGAGAAAGACCGACTCCATCCTACCACAACAGGCCATTGAATTCAAGCCTTTTCACAGAGGAAGCAAGAGACTTCCTCATCTCAAGCCAAAAATGCCAGCTATGCACTCCCACAGGACTCCGGCCCCCTGGAGGCGCAGGGCACCAGGGCTATCGCAATAACCTCCCAGCTGATCTACAAGCCAATTCCCTTCGGTGCAGAACTCCAGACACTGTCCCTCAGTTCAGATCCAAGCTTCAAGCCCCGTTTTTGCCCCAGAAGTACCCGTGACCTCACAAGCAGACTCAGAAATCTAGACACACTAGCATCTGCGCCCCTGAGACCAGCTGCATTAGCTCTAGTTCTGTTTGAGAGGAGAGAGGGATTTCCCATGTGCTCCAGCGAGTGCTGCCTGCTGCGTTCCAGGCACAGGAGGGAAAGGCTGTGGGTGAGTGGTGGGAGGAGGGTGGGGGGCAGAGCTGATAGACAAACACACAGATTAGACACATGTACCCAAGATAAATGATCCAGGCAGCCAGAGTGTGAGCAATGGGTGCTCTGTAGTAGGTGCTTTAGGCGTCAGAGCCAACGTGCAGTGGTTCTAAGACGATGGCTGTGGCCTGGGACGCAGGCTAACCTGTCAGTTCCCCTGGGAAATGTCAATCTCCTTTCCTCCGCTCCCTCAGCCCTAATCCCACCATCGTATTTATTTTTGTGCCCGGTCCTGTCCCTGGTCCCTCACAATTCACTATAAAACAAACCTTTTATCAGCATTGGGATGCCTTGTGAATAGGATTTTATTTAGCTTATAAGGAGCTACAAAAAGAAACAAAAGATGACATAAATCATAATGTTTATCCATGATGTATATTGTTAAACCAAAAAAGCTAGATACAGAGACATGTGTAGAGGATTCCATTTTTACTACCATTCCCACAAGTAAAAACAGCTATATCCGTGTGTGTCAATTGTAACATATGAGATGACTGCTTTTGCAGGTGAAAAATGTTGTTGCTTAGAGAAGAGCGGTTGAAGATCTGCTCCTGCCTCTCCCCGCACACAACCGGAGACCTCCCTTCCTGCTCCTTCACGAGGGGCAGGAATATCTCAGGCCCCAGGGCCAGGGCCCATGGACTAGCATCAGGGCAGAAGCCCTGCTTGGGTAAAGTGCTGGGAACACAGGTAAGGTCTGACTCACCCAGCCCAAGGCCTAGGAGAGACCAAAGTACGTGAAAGAGTGCTGCATTTGTTGGACTATTGGGCCTTTCTGCAGAATGTGGGATGGAGAAAGGAGCCATTTTATTTGGGAATTAAAGGGAAGAGTTACTCCAGAGACTGGCCGACTCGGGAACATCCAGTTAATCCTAGCACCTACTTTGGGAAGGGCCACCCTAGACCATGCTAGCTACCAGAGAGCTGACTCAATGGGAGCCGGGCCACATAGAGACTATGATGTGAATGACACCCCCTGGAAGTGTCCCCTGTACTGTTAGTGCATCCCTGCTCTTTAGGCCAATCCCCCAAACTATTGTCAATGACTTATATTTCTCCTTATCTCTCTTTCCTTCTCATATTAAAAAAATAAATAAAAATTGCCCTGCCTGGTGTGGCTCAGTTGGTTGAGAATAGTCCCATGCACCAAAAGGTCACCAGTTCGATTCCCAGTCTAGGCACATGCCTGGATTGTGGTCTTGATCCCCAATAGAGGGCGTGCAGGAGGCATCCAATCGATGTTTCTCATATCAATGTTTCTCTCTGTCTCTCCCTTTCCCTTCCTCTCTCTCTAAAAATCAATGAAAACATGTGTGTGTGTTTTAAATGAAGATTTAAAAAGTATCTTCACTTTCTCCCAAGCTTCATTCTTTCCATGGCTGGACGAGAAATGAATTCATCTCTCCTCCCCTAATTGCCCCTCCTCGTTCACCTCTAATATGAGCTACCAGACCCCTCTATGATTATCCAGCTTCTTCCAAGGCCCCTCCTTCCTCTAACAAATTATGATTTACCAGGAGTTTCAACTGTGAAATGGCAAGAGAGGAATTATCAGGACAGTGGGGGTGGAGGGAAGTGGGGGTGAGAAATTCATTTCCCCCAATTGCCATTATTCACCCTCCACATACCTGGGCAATAGACGTGGGAGGTCCTTACTGCTGATGTTCAAGTGGCTCATACCAGTGATAAGATGGACCCCTCACAACAACAACGACAACCCTAACACAACAGCCTCACACATGCACAGTGGCGTATAGCTCATCCCCTGGTCTAGCTATGCAGCTTATGTAGTGCACATATCCGTGCCAGGCTGCTATATTTACCCCCCTCTCTCACGTGAGGACATTGAAGCTCAGAAAGCACGCTTAGTTCTCCTGAGTACAAACCGCACAGTCTCTGAAGATGCTATCCCTAAATAAATGCAGGTCTACTAGGACATGTCAATCAGGGATCATTAACCTGGGCCCCAAGTTCGGGGGGGAGGGGGGGAACCTCCCTAAAGGGGAGTCTTTAAACTTTTGGGGGGGAAAGTTACTTTATTTTCAATCACCTCTAACTAAAATTTAGTATTTCCTTTCATTATAAATGTAGTCAACAATAGTGTCAGCAGCAGCTGTGACTTTGCCCCAGAAGAAATCAGAGACATTTCATATCCGTGAAAATGTCTCCAGAAATGGTTTAATCTCATCAGGACGTCAAAATTATGGTTACTACTAGAGGCCCGGTGCACAAAATTCCTGCACTGGGGGTGGGATGGGGGGGGCTCAGCCTGGCCTGTGCCCTCTCGCAGTCCGAGACCCCTCGCTCCTTACCGCCTGCCTGCCTGCTGCTCCCTACCGCTCAGCTCGCTGCTCCTTAGTGCTGCCGCAAAGGCTCCCACCACCACCACTGCACTTGCCCGCCGTGAGTCCGGTTTCTGGCTGAGCGGTGCTCCCCCTGTGGGAGTGCTCTGATCACCAGGGGGCAGCTCCTATGTTGAGCGTCTGCCCCCTGATGGTCAGTTCATAGTGACCAGTCATTCCACCGTTCGGTTGATTTGCATATTAGGGTTTAATTACATAGGATTAGTTTCCTGCTAAATCTTGTTATAGAATGCATTAATAAATCAGCACATATATTGCTATATCACTATTTTAATATTCTAATGACTGTAATTCATGACCATTGGCTTCCTTTGTAATCCTATGTATTTTACACATTTAAAAACATTCTGTGAAAAAATCCATAGGTTGCACGATTGTCAAAGAGGTTTATGGCGCGCGCGCGCGCGTGCGTGTGTGTGTGTGTGTGTGTGCGCGCGCGCGCGCGTGCAGGTTGAGAGCTCCTGATCTAAAGGACTCAGGACATGGTTAGGAATTCATCTTGTTCCTTTTACCATATTGTATTGTAGATATTTATGTCTTTCCTCCCTTGTTAGCTTTGAGTTCTTACAAAGCAGGAATGGTGTCTTATATTTCTTTGAGTTCTTAGTACCTAGAACAGGAATTGGCACTCACTGAACCATCATTTATAGAGTATCTACTGTGTGTAAGGCTCAAGTCCCATTGGGTGAGGCAAAAGAATGGAGAATTCAAAGGCAAGCAATCATTCATTCATTCAATCAATCATTTATTCATTCAGAGAACCGTCCAATAGCTACTCAATACCAGCCACTGTGGTTGGCTCTGGGGACAACAGAAAAAATGAGACCCAAGTGTTTATTCTCATGGAGCACCCGTTCAGCTAATGGGAAGAAGAGGACACAAGATTTCTGAAGACAGACAAATGGGAATGAGGTCACTCTTTCTGCGGAGTCAGAGTCATGGGGAAAATGTAGTTCTTAAATCTATGTTCATCTGCTCTTTCCAGCCAAAGGTTCCAGGGAGAAAGTAACCACGGGACTAGAAACATGCTCTTCCCAAGAGGAAAAGTCTGGGGTTCCCATGGGGATCATTTACCTTGTGTGGTTGTGGTCTTGCCTAGCAAACTTTGGGAAGTTAGTCCTCCATCGCCCCAGGTGTTTCAGGGGCTGCCTGTCCACAGGCAGCAAGCCGATGTCTGCCCTCGCTGCGGTTCCGGTTCCGTTACGGTTCAAGGATTCTGTGATGCCATCAATTAGTCGGAATGCGCAAGGTTGCCTGGATACCTCGGGGTTTCTTTTTCTTGTAAGAGACCAAGGCCGGGCGACCTCCTCATTTTGCCAAACATGTGCTGAGAGACCAGGCTGCGAGAGACATGGTGGTGCAGCTACCTGACCCTGGGCCAGGTCATCGGTCTAAGCAGATGGCGAAGGAGAGACCCCCAGCAGAACTGGGAGCTGGGAGCGCCTTACCATGGAATGGGAGAGCTGGAGGAAGATAACAAGACGATACCAAGGACAACAGGGTTTGGGGTTCACTAAGACAAAATATGATCAGGTAACACATTTCCCCAGAGAGATCTAACCTTAAAATACAAAAAGATAAATTTCATAAATCCTTACAGACTGTCTCCAGAGAGATATAATCTTAAAAGACAACAAAGTCCATTTGGATGAATGTAGCACCCACCCACAGCAGTATCGCCATAAATGTTGACTGAATGTATGAAAACCTCATCTCCCTCATGTGTCGCAGCCCCAGCGGGCCTCTCTCTCCCCAGGGGGGCCTCTCTCTCATTCAACTGTGGGATCCTGAGATAAAGTCGTTGGAAGTATTCCTTCAAATGAAATGTGGATAATCTGTTAGAGATATTGCAGCAGATCTTCCATATATTTCCCCCTGTTGGTAAGAAGTTTAGACTAGAGAGATGCTTTCAGCAACTTGTGACCCTGTGCCCCTTATTCCACCAGCAGAGCATGAAGTTACCAAGTAAGCCTCCCAGATGAAATATTAATACCTCGTGCAAAGATTCTTGGGAAATAAATATTTTTTATTAATTTACTGGATTTCATATACCCAATAGTTCTTAAAACAAGTATTAACAATAGCAACACAAACCACATGTAAAATGAAAAACAGGTCCCGCAAATGACACCCTTCCCAATGACACATGGGATTGAGAAAAATCCTACACGGTGCTGACACTACTCTCTGTGAGCATAAAGAAGGTTCCTACAGGCTTCCTGGCAATCAATCCTCCTTCATCCTGGGCCTGAACTCTAAAGTCTTTGGAGTCAACATGACAAGTTAAGGACAAGTTAGATGAGATCAAGTAGAGGGCTCAGCCTACTACAGAAATGGCCGAAGCATGCCAGTGGGAGCTCAGCCAGCCAGGCCACATGGCAGATCATGTATATGCTGTTAAATCCAGCAGCCACAAGACCCAAAGCCATAGAGAACTGACAGGCCAGGCCTCAACTGAAAATTTTGCTGAAAGAGGATCTCTCCGGCCACATGCTTTGAGTTTACAAGTTGGCCCATCTTGGACCCAAATATGCCAACTAGAGCTTTCATGTACTCCCCTTGAAAACCAGTAACAAAATGCTAAGAATGCCCGAGAAACTGGGGTTCTCTTTCAGCCATCCCGAAGGCGAAGACAGCCAGAAGCTTGCCTGTTGGTCCCTGATCAAGTCATCGGCCAGAGGAAAAGCTTGTCAGCATCCAAGGCGCATTGGGCCCCCCCACGAGGCCTTCCTAGTTCTCCTTCTGTGCCTGCTGCAGCCTCTTGGCCACAGCAGTGATCAGAGCTGCTCCCTTCCCACTCCCATCTTCTGACAGCATGAACGTCACATCACATTTAGGGGCTAGTTCTTTCACCGTTTCCTGCAATATCCAAGAAAAGCTATGAAAAAGAGAAGAAAAAAAAACATCATCAGCACTTACATAGGGAATCATCGTATTTATAAATTATTTCCATCTAGTTTGTTGCTTCTAGCTTGCTTCTTAAGGATCCAGAACAGCTTACACGGTCTTTTAGATAGCTGTTTTAATATTACCTTTTACTGAGCAACTGCTAATGCCAGAGAATAGTCTAGGAAGGTGTTTCACATACAGAACATCAAAGTGTAACCAATAGTAGTTTGAAAATAATTATCACTATCTTCACTACATAAATAAGAAACTTGTCCAAATTTGTACAAACTAGTCCATTTATTAAGATTTGGACCAGGCCAGTGTTTTTCCAAATCCCACTTTTTTTGGTTCAAAATTTCCCCCAATTTTTATTTTCAAATGTTGAAAGCATAGTTCAGTGAGTACCTCTATACCTTCTGCCTCGTCTCAACAAAGTTAAAATCTTGCCCTGTTTGATCCATCCATTCACCCATCTCTCCTCCCATTAATTTTCCCCCAAAGCTCACAGTCTTAATCACAATACTTGGCCTCTCTATCATTTGAGATATTAAATCCATTCGAATTTACATCCTGGGAGTCAGTTACCAGGCCAGTCTGTGGGATCAAAGTGTGTCTGCCAAAGGCCTGGGATGCGGGTTACTGTAATGGCACAGGTGGCAGTCATCTCTGAGGGCCAGCCTGCCAGCGAAGGATCTGAGCCCAACTCTGCCGCACAGCCAGTGGGTGACTCTGGCCAACCCCTGAAGCTCCCTGGGGCTCTGCTGGTTACGTGGGAGGAGAAGGGAATTTTATCAGAGGCACAGTAAGGGTAATCAGTCCCAAACTTCCCAGGAGATAGGAGGAAATGGCTTGGCAATCACTGCTTAATCAAGTCTTTCTTTCTTTTTCTTTTTTTAAATATACAATTATTCAGTGGTTTTTAGTGTATTCCCAAAGTTGCGCAACTATCACCACTGTCTAATCCCAGAACATTTCTGTCATCCTAAAAAGGAAACCCATACCCAATAACAGTTGCTCTCGATTCACACTAACCCCAGCAATCACTAATCTTTCTATCTTTATATATTTGCCTATTCCGAACATTAATATAATGGAATCTGTTATATGTGGCCTTTTGTGTCTGGCTTCTTTCATTTAAGATTTTCAACATTCGTCAAAGTTGTAGCACGTGTCAGTACTTCATTCCTTTTTATGAGTAATAGTTCATTGTATGGCTATCCTACATTTTGTTTACCCACCCAGAAGTTGATGGGCACTTGGGTTGTTTCCCCTTTTGGCTAGTATGAATAATGCTGCTATGAACATCACTAACAAGTTTGTGTGTGAACACGTTTTCAATTCTCGAGTACACCTAGCAATGAAATTGCTGGGTCACATGGTAACTCCATGTTTATCCTTTTTAGGAATTGCCAAACTGTTTCCCACCAGCCAGGCATTAGGGCTCCAATTTTGTCACATCCTGATCAACACTTGTTACTGCCACTCTTTTTAATTGTGGCCATCCTAAGTGCATGTGAAATGGTAGTTCATGGTTTTGACTTGCATTTTCCTGGTGACTAACGATATTCGGCACCTTTCTGAATGTTTATCAGCCATTGTAGATCTTCTTGGAGAGATGTCTATTTAAATCCTTTGTTCACTTGTTACTTATCTTTATTGTTGAGTTGCATTAAGTGTTCTTTATATATCCCAGAGATGAGTCCCTCATCAGATACATGATTTGCAAATATTTTCTTCCATTCTTTCTTTTCACTTCCTATGGCATATAAAATATTTTAATTTTATGGAGTCCAATTTACCTACACTTTCTTTTGTTGCCTATTCTTTTGATGTCATATTTAAAAACAATTGCCTAATCCAAGGTCACAGAGATTTACACCTATGTTTTCTTCTAGGAGTTTTATAGTTTCAGATCTTAATTCAGGTCTTTGGTCCATTTTGAGTTAATGTTTGTACACGGTGTGAGGTCGGATGCCTTTTACTGCTGTTTCTTGCCTCCCTGCCCTGGCTAGACTTACCCCTGATTTTCCCCTTGAGGCCACATGTTTTGGAACTGACTCTTACAAACCTCTCCTTGAATCAAGATTCGACTGAGAGACAAAAATCACACAGCCACCTGAGGCAGCATTAGAAGGTACAGTGCTGAACAGCAGTGGCAAGAGTGCATCCTTGTCTTGTTCCTGATCTTAAGGGAAGAGCATCCACTCTTTCTCTCCCCAGTAAGTATGATGCCAGCGGTGGACTCTTCCCAGATGCTTTTATACCAGGTTGAGGAAGCTCCCTTATTCCTAGTTTATTGAGTAATTTTAACCTGAAAAGTGTTAAATTTTACCAAATGCTTTGTCTGTACCTACTGAAATGATCATGTGGTTTGTTCCTTGGTCAAGTCTTGGTTCAAGGGAGAGGCTTGGAGGAACCTCAACAAAAATATGTGACCCAAAGGGAAAACCAAGAGACAATACCAGTCAGTTATTCTGAACAATTAGCATCATAGAAAGGGCTAAGGGTCAAGGATTACAATAATAAGTTCATGTATACACTTCAGCATGACTGAAAACCTGTGTAAGCTTGTTAATACTTTTCCTCTTCACCAAAACAAAATGTAAAACACGACATGAAATGGAAATTATAACTTTCATCACTGGAAGTTTTGTGACGAGCCATTCCTGCTACCGCCACTGCTTAACTTAATCCTCACAGCAATCCATGAGGCAGGTCTGATTTTTGTCCTCATTTTACAGGGAGTAAGAAACTGGATTCAAACTCATATTGCCTGACAGGGCTCTTAATCCTCTGTCCGCTTATTCTGAGCTAAGAAAATTATAACCAGCTCATACTAGACAATGCTCTATGTTATATAAAATACTCAGTTCAATGACTCCCCTGTGAGGCCAGTATTTACTGAGCACTTTACCTGTATAACCCATGTAATCTTTTTTTTAAAATATATATCTTATTGATTTTTTTACAGAGAGGAAGAGAGAGGGATAGAGAGTTAGACACATCAATGAGAGAGAGACATCGATCAGCTGCCTCTTGCACACCTCCTACTGGGGATGTGCCCGCAACCAAGGTACATGCCCTTGGCCGGAATCGAACCTGGGACCTTTCAGTCCACAGGCTGATGCTCTATCCACTGAGCCAAACCAGCTAGGGCACCCATGTAATCTTCGTGTAGCTCTAAGAGGTAGAGATGATTACTGCCCGCCTTTTACAGATGAGGAAGCTGGGGTTCAGAGGGGATGGCAAATCCTCCCACACCATACCACAGGGCTCAACCTTGCCTGTCAGATTCAACCAGGTCTACTCTTGACCTCAGCGCCCTCCCACCCCGTCCTTCTCAGGCACTCACTGAGGGTGCAGCTTGTACAGGGTGCCGTCCACGCCCACAGTGATCTTCAGGTGCTCCAGCCCCTGGTCTTCCCTCCTCTTCTCCACGATGGCGGCCATGCCTGCGCCACAGAGCTGGGCCGCCCGACGGGACACAGCTCCACACACCTCCTTCACCACGATGCTGTCCTCGCACGTGCTGTCCAAGCCGAGCTGCTGCAGGATCCTCCTCACCTGGAGGAGGGCCAGCCGATCGCTGCAGAAAGAAGAGTGTTATCAAGAGAGAACAACTGAGAAACAACCTCTATGACCATAGAGCAGATTCCACAGGTAAGAGGGGGTGTAGCCAGACAGTAGAATCCTTTGTAGACCTTAAAATTGAGTTCGCATGAGAATATCTAATGCTATGAAAAATGTTTATGATGTATTAAGTGAAAACATAAATTATAAAATACTAGCTGCCATATGATCTTGGTTTTTGTTTTTAAATGATGTTTGTCCTTCACACACACACAAAGAGCAGAAGGAAATCTATTCAGATGCTGGAAGGATTGCCAGTGATTCTTATTTTCTTCCTTTTGCTTATGAATAAGCAACATTTATATAGGAAGGAAAAAAGTGGGGTTTCATTAGTATGTATAAAATTCCTTCCATGATCTAGCCCAGGGGTCCTCAAACTTTTTAAACAGGGGGCCAGTTCACTGGCCCTCAGACCGTTGGAGGGCCGGACTATAGTTTAAAAAAAACTATGAACAAATTCCTATGCACACTGCACATATCTTATTTTGAAGTAAAAAAACAAAACGGGAACAAATACAATATTTGTATTTGCATGTGGCCCGCAGGCCATAGTTTGAGGACCCCTGATCTAGCCCTTCACAGTTTACCTAGTTCCTTCATGTATGTTCCCTTACTCTATCCTCAGAGCCATCCTTGGGGTTAAGCAGCAGAGCAATTATTTATCTTATAAAGAAGGAAACTGGGTCCAGAGAGGAGCTGCCTGCTTCAGGTCACCCAGCACGAAGGAGGGAAGTGGTGGAGAGGAAGCAGAAGCTCGGACTCTGAGGCTGTAAACCAGGATGCTTCCCCTGAGGTCACTGTCCCACCCATTCAACACGTGTCGAAATGGTCCACAGTCAGGACAGCAACTGCTATCTTCCCATTGGCACTCGATGGTATGATTTTATTTTAACCCATAAAGGTGCTTTGTAAAATGCCTGCAGAAGTGAAAGCATCCAAGGCAGACACGTTTTGTGTGGCAGAAGCAAATACTTCTGGAGGCATATAGGTCCTGACAACTTGCTTTGTCCGGAACAACTTTCCTTGTGTTCAAAAAAGCAAGGCAAAGATCAGTCAATCTGTTTATCTCCTGCACACAAGGGAGCAACTGTTTCCCCCACAAAAGAGGACCCTCTGGTCACCAAAGGCAGTGACTTTCAACTTGCACTTTCGGATTGGATGAGTTGAAGACCAGACCCCTCCGCCCCCCAAAAAAGAAAGCTGAATGTTCGCTGATCATCACTTCAAAAACACAAAATTGCTGCTGGTGCTGCAGATTCTACCACCCTCTCCTTAAACAGAACTCTCTGCAGCAGCCCATCGCATTTCCCTCATTAAATGCACTGCTTTCATTTATAAAGAGTTTTCTTTTCCCCCCAGGATGATTTCTGGCTTGCTGGCACCTGGCCATAAAGACCAGGAGAATTTGCCCTAACCGGTTTGGCTTGATGGGGAGAGCGTCGGCCTGCGGACTGAAGGGTCCCAGGTTCAATTCCGGTCAAGGGCATGTACCTTGGTTGCAGGAGGCAGCTGATCGATGTTTCGCTCTCATCGATGTTTCTAACTCTCTATCCCTTCCCCTTCCTCTCTGTAAAAAAAAAATCAATAAAATATATTTTTTAAATAAAAGACCAGGAGAATTAAATGAAGGAAGTCAAATTGAGAGAAATTCCAAACACAGAGCCTCTGATCACATCCAGGGCTGGTAGAAGAAGCAGTGAAACCGCCATGTGTGCATAGCTGGTGGCAGTGGGAACTGGAACTACCTTTTAAAAAAGTGTGTCCAGCCCAGCTAGCGTGGCTCAGCGGTTGAGCATCGACCCAAGAACCAAGAGGTCACTGGTTCGATTCCTGGTCAGGGCACATGCCTGGGTTGTGGGCTCGATCCCCAGTGGGGGGCAAGCAGGAGGCAGTGGACCGATGATGTTTCTCATCGATGTTTCTATCTCTCTATCCTTCTCCCTTCCTCTCTCTCTAAAAATCCATTTAAAAAAAAGAAAATAAGCTTGCAAACATTCAAGAACTTGAAAGGGAACATAATATGCAAAAATAAAAACCGCTGTATTTAGTGGTGAGCATGTGGGTGATTTTTTAAAATGACTTTGCTTTCATATTAGGGATATATTTTCTTTTTAGGAACAAAGGAGGATCATTTTCTGGCCTCAGCTAACTCCTGGGTAACAGTTTAGGAACCCAGAGCCCAGGCAGGCTGCTGGCCCCTCAGCTGTGAGCACGCCCTGGGGCTGTGGTCCTGAAGCAGCTGGAGAGAGGGGGCAACCCCTCCTCATCTGGCCTTGCTGTTTCTAGTCTTAAATCTCAAACCCGCCTACCCCCAGCATGACAGCAGCACATGCAAGTTAGGGCTCTCACACTGAGCAGTGAACTTGACCGCACGTCACCTTTCAATCTGGGACAGGAACTTGGTTTCAAAGATGCCCCGGGTGCGGAGACGCTCTGAAATCTGCCCCCGGAAGAGGAGACCCTGCTTGGTCAGGTCAATCAGGATCTGCCGCACAATCTCCCCCAGGTACATCCCGCTGGTCATTTTCTCGTATCTGTTTGGGGAAGAGGGAGAAGGTGGGTGAGAGCAGGAAAACCAGCGCTGATGAATGGTTCCCGAAAGGACATGGGTCGGGTGTGGAAGGCAGACCACTGGCCGCCGCCAGCTGCCTGGTTTGGAGTGTTTCGGAGTGAGCCGTGGCCAACGGAAATGCAGTGATGTGGGAGAGCCAGGCTTTGGAGCCACGGGGAGCGGGAGCCGGGTCCCAGCTCTGCCACATACCAGGGGCACCTGAGCAAGCACTGAGCCATCATCTATAAAACAGGGACCCAAACACTGACCGCACAGGCTGTCGGGAGGCAAGCCTCGGTGTACAGCAGGTGCTGAGCAAGAGCTGGTCCCTCTCCGGTTCCCAAAGCCAACGCCCCTCGGTTTGCAGGACACATCTGTTCTACTGGAGATGCTCCTTTCTAGGTGAAGGAATCTGTCCCACTAGAGACTCCGCTCCCCCAGGTAATACATTTACACTGTCCGCACACACCAGGGTCCTCAAAAGCTGTCACCACCCTGTCCCCTTTCTGCCAGGCTGTGAGCAGCGTGAGGGAAGGAGCAAGAGGAGACTCGCCTTGTGACCAGCAGGCACTGCACAGGTGTCTGCACGGGTGTGTGTGCCCGTCACCAGCCACCGTGACGCAGGCGGGGCTGCCCCTGCCTGCAGGGCCAAATGGGAAGCGGAGCATGGCCGAGACTTGTGTGTTCTCCTCGCTGATCAGGCCCTAATGCAGTGATGGCGAACCTTTGGAGCTCGGCGTGTCAGCATTTTGAAAAACCCTAACTTAATTCTAGTGCCATGCCACATATAGAAATTTTCTGATATTTGCAACCATAGTAAAACAAAGATCTATATTTTTGATATTTATTTTATATCTTTAAATGCCATTTAACAAAGAAAAATCAACCAAAAAAATGAGTTCGCGTGTCACCTCTGACACGCGTGTCATAGGTTCGCCATCACTGCCCTAACGTGAGCCCAAGACAGATTATGGCAGCAAATTCAAAAGTGCTGCCCCCTTAAGTCCTCATTCCAAAAATGTAAGCCTCCAGACACACAACTAAGTCAGAAGGCCTCGCCCCTTAAGAAGAGCCATGATAGCTGGATGCCCCAATGTGGGGTTCAGAGATAAATACATTGATCAGATTTTTTCTTTTTTTGGAGCAAGTGCCAAGGAAGATGAGGGACCACGGGGCCTCTTCTATGTCGTGCTCTCAGTTCAACAGTTACTAAGGCATCTGTGGCCCAGTCATCCCATTACACTTCCTATCTGCTCAGCTTCTTCATGTGGCTATCACCCATCACAACAAATCTGCATTTCCATCTTACTTTATATACTAAGACACTGAGTTTAGTTGTGACCTGATAGTAAAACATTTACTCTCTGGTACATCATAGAAAAAGTTTGCCAGCTCCTGTTCTAATGGACAAGCCCAGGTTAACGATCAATTCCTAGCATGATAGCTCTATCCCTAGCTACTCCTTTCTCTCCTTCTCAAGAAGGTATATGACAGTGGTTCTCAACCTTCTGGCCCTTTAAATACAGTTCCTCATGTTGTGGTGACCCCCAACCATAAAATTATTTTTGTTGTTACTTCATAACTGTAATACTGCTACTGTTATGAATCATAATATAAATATCTGATATGAAGGATGGTCTTAGGCGACCCCTGTGAAAGGGTCGTTCGACCGCCAAAGGGGTCGCGACCCACAGGTTGAGAACCGCTGGTATATGAGGATGCAAGCAAAAATGTACTCTACCTTTTTTTAAAGAACCATCCACTGTTTTCAGTAGGGTCAGTAGTTGGAATACACCTCACAGGTGACTGTGACCCATGTTGGGACATGACATCATGTTGAGAACCGGAACTCCCATCCTTCCTGTGGCCACTTCCTCGCCCAGAACAACAGAGGTCAGCAACCTGGCAGCCAGCTCTTAAAATGCTGAATTGGACCTCTCAGAGGCCCATCCTGAGAGGGCCCCCAGAGTCACCAGGCCCCTGCTCTGTGACACCTGGCCCACACACAGCCTCTGCCTCCACTAGCCACCCCCTTTATGATGTCCTATGATAGTTAGAAAAAGGCAACCCTTTGTTCTACTTATTGGAAATTTGTCATAATATTTTGCTTTTGTTCAAATAAGACAGCACAGTAACATGTAATAGTAGTTGTAATATAATAAGAAAATGGCACACACACCCACCCCAACCCCCACCCCCCGCCAAGATCTGGTAAAGTGGTATATGCACAACCCGCACACATGTACACATCTGCCTTCTCACCTTTGTTTGCCAGGATTCAGGGACCCCTCATCCACCTCCTTGTCATATTGGGTCCGGATGTCATCTATGCAGCCATTATCTCCAAATCCTCCCCACTCTGTGTTAATGCACATCTTCCCTTCGTCCCCTTCCACCACCTCTATGTTCCTCATCTCCTCCATGTAGCACATATTGCTGCCCGTTCCTAGAAGGAATCAGGAAGAGACTTTAGTCTTCAAAAGACACCACCAGATCTTAAAGAGGCAGCGGAGCGCAGCAGACAGGACTTTAAGCTTGGAGTCAGACAACTGGATTGGAGTCAAAATCTGAACTGCAGCTTTATACCATTGCTGAGTGACCTTAGACAAGTATCTCATCTTTCAGAGACCCAATTTCTTCATCTGTGAAAAGGAAACAATGCCTGCCTCATAGATTTGTTATTTAAAAAAAAAAAAAATGAGATGAGCTTCGGCTGGTGTGGCTCAATGGTTAAGCATCAACTTATGAGCTAGGAGGTCACAGTTTGATTCCAAGTCAGGGCACATGCCCCATTTGCGGGTGCAATCCCCAGTAGGGGGTGGGCAGGAGGCAGCCAATCAATGATTCTCATCATTGATGTTTCTATCTCTCTCTCCTCCCTATCTCTCTGAAATCAATAAAAAATATATTTTTTTAAAAATGAGATGATGTTTGTAAGTTTCCGCCACATAGTAAGTATTCAATCAATGGTGATAGCAGCAGCAGCATCACCTCCATCATCATCCTTGGTAAGCTATAGGCACACAAAGTGAGCCTCCAAGTAGTCATAGAGCTAGCAGTCAGACCTGGAAGGGACCATGAGGAATCGTCTAGTCTTGGACAAGCAAATGTTTAGCATCTATATTTAGCACCCTCTTCTCCTTGACCCATGACCTGGCCTAAGAACTATTCTCAACACAACAGTCCAGGCAACTATTATATGTAATTAAACAAGTCTCACCTCTTTGCTCACCTAGATATAGCCCAGTCCCTCCCATAGATGAGGAAATTCAAGTCCAGACAGAATAGTAACCTGTCCAAGTTCACAAAGCAGGTGAGAGTTGGAGTGAGATCAAACCCCTTATCTGGCATTGAAGACATCTCACTATATCCCCATCTGCTTGTTCCACCTACTCCTCACCTCCAGGAACCCCAGACAACCAACTGGAACAACTTTCACAGATTGTCATTACTTAACCTGTACCTCTCAGTTGGAATGCCCTTCATCCCCATCTCTACCTGTTCAACTCCCACCCTTTCCCTCACCCCGCTGGAGCCATCCCACTGGAATCCACCCTAGTCCTTAATCACCGTCAGACTTCTCCTCCCCTAGGTTTCTTTCCAAATCTTCCCCATCCTGTGAACCCAGACAGCTAGAAAAGGTCAGAGAACATTGGAGCCAGCTTTGGACCAACAAGATTCAACTGAGGTCTCCTTCCTCAGTTGCTCCAAGGCCCTAATCTGAAAGTCCACTTTTTTTATATCATTCTTCTTCAACAGAAAGGACAACTTTGACTTACTACCCTTAATGAAGAAAGATACTAAGTAAACACTTAAGAATTCTAGAATCCCAGCCTTAACTTCATCTCTGCCTTGGACAAAGCCAGCTCCAGAGGCTCTGTATAATGGAACAATCTCCCCTGCCTCACTATGTTAAAAAGGATCCTCCAAAGAATCAGATGGGAGTAGGCCAATGGGACATGCCTGACCACCTACCCGCAATCAGGCCAATCTCACAATTAGGATCTTCATAGCCACAGGTCATCATGGTCCCCACTGTGTCATTCACAACTGCAACTATGTCCAGGTCAAACTCCTGCAAAGGAAGCAGCTCTACTGTAGGTGGAATGTGCAAGCCAACTGGACTAGGAGGGGCATATCGACCCAGAGTAGGGGTGGGGTGTGTGTGAGGGAGGTCAGAGTCACAGGGCTGGATGTAGGACGGTGGGCCAAAGGGGTTTGGGGGAAGGGACTAGGTCAGGCATGAGCCTCAACACCGTATCGTACGTTTCTCCTCTTGATGGCTTCCCTGAGCATATCCACCATGTCTTCCCCTTCACAGTCAGTAGCCTTAAAGCCTTTGGTCCACTCAATGAGTATCCCCTGAAAGAAAGGAGGAGAAATTCACTTGAGCAGTAGTTTTCTGGGACCTCAACATCTAATAGGTAGTCCGGTGTGTGTGCTTTTGATTGCTTCCATCTATGCAGCCCTAACACTGGCCCAGAGGCATTACAAAGCATGATGCGCAGACAGGGTCTACTTCTGAGTGGAGTAATTGCAGTAATTCATATTCATCAGTGACCAACTCATGTTCCCAGGCCATGACTGCACAGAGCAAAGGCCTGGATCACTTCTAATCTAGCCAAGGACAGATTAAGACGTGATTAATGATAAAGCCACAGACTGTTTATTAAAGCATTGTTCCACAGTAAAACACTAGAGGCATCCTATCATTCCAAAAAAATGGATCTATCACCTTGTACATCAATATAGGAAATGATATATATATATATTTAAAAGCCAAGCGACCGCAATGTCGGAACGACCGGTTGTTTTGACGCACACTGCAGCCCCAACCGCCCGCGGCCCCTCCCCCCAGCTGCCCTGTCCTAAGGCCCCTAAATAAAATGAACAGTGACTCAGAGGTACCTTGGGATTCCCCTCGTGGAGGAGGGCAGCCCACCCCACGGGGCTGGCTGGGAGTCTGGAGGGGCTGCTTACCTTATCGATGCCTGTCTGCCTGCAGGGAAATGAGAATGTGAAGCCCAGAGGCAGCGGGACTCCCTTGAGGCCCATGTAGTCCAAGAAGTCGGAGATGCACTGCACGATGTGGTCAAACAGCTGCAGGGAGAGAGCGGCAGTCACCCAGGCGGGCAGTGACGGGGGGAGGCTGGCACCTCAGCGCACAGACCCACGGCCTGACGCACAGCCTGACGTTTACCTCCTCCCCGGTGCCCTGCATGATCTCCAGAGGGATGGCGAAGATCTTGTTGTACATTCGCACTGACCTCCGGCCGCTTCTGATCTTCACCAGGAGGACGCGGAAGTTGGTTCCCCCCAGATCCAGGGCAAGGAAATTCCCTTTCTCTGTGGTGGAGAAAGTGGGGCTCGGCTCCACCAGCATGCACAGAGCAGGGGCTCGGGGGAGGCGTGGGGGGGAAAGGAGCAGCCTCAGAGCCTGCCCGGGCACAGATCCAGAGCACCCGCAGGCACCCAGAGCTGTGAGGCCAGCCTGCTTTTCCTGCACCTGGTAAAGACCACACATGGTACTTATGCTCAAAGAGCCCCTGAGTGCAATGGCCTCCGGAAGGTGGCTCCATCCGTCTGTGTGGCCTGGAGGAACTGCTCATCACATGATAGAATGATCCTTCCCATCCCTGCCCTCCCCTTCTCTGGGTTCCCTCACCCACACCGGCCGGTTTGGCTCAGTGGATAGAGCATTGGCCTGTGGACTGAAGGGTCCCGGTTTTGATTCCAGTCAAGGGCATGTACCTCGGTTGCAGGCTGGATCCCTGACCGGGTCAGGGCACATGCAGGAAGCAACCAATAGATGTGTCTCTCTCACATCGATGTTTCTCTCGCTCTCTCTGTCTCTCCCCCTCCCTTCCACTCTCTCTAAAAATCAATGGAAAAATATCATCGGGTGGGAATTAACAACAAAAAGAATTCAAATCAAGTTCAACCTTCAATACCACCCACTGCCTCTCACTTCTCCAGCATCGCAGAGCATCACAGACTGTTCTGGAAAGCCTTTTGCCTTGCTCTCTGTCTCACCCTGCTGCAGCCACACTGGTCATTTTGCTGTTCCTTGAATTTGCCAAAGACATCACTCCCAGCCGCTCTCTTACCCCTCACCCTGCTCTATTTGCCTTCACAGCACCTGTCATTACATGGCATCATATGGCGTTTGTTTATTGTCTGCCAATCCAACAGAACATAAGCTCCACCAGGGTAGGGACTGTGCTTTCCTCACTGCTCTATCACCAAGACTAGAACAGCCTGACACATAGTAGGTGCTTAATAAAACTTTGAGGGATGAAGGCAGGAGGATGAACGGGATGAAGGAATGAATAATTGAACAGTATCTCTACTGCTCTCAGTTTTTCCCCCATGTAGACTCCAAGAACGTTGGCCCTGGAAAAGATCATTGCTGTTGAGAGTTCCAACATACAGATGTGTGGCCGTGAGTATGTCATCTAAGCTCTCTGAGTCTGTTTTGGCATCCATAAGATGGGAATCACTCTATGTAACACACGAACTGGTTGTGAGGATGAAATGAAATGTTCAAAAGCAAACTACAAGCTAGAAGGCATCCGACCAAGGTCATTATTTCTGGGTGCAGTTCATGAGGTTCAAAGAGGTGAAGTAACTTCTCTAAAGGACTGACTCCGCTGTGGAGTGGCTCCTCTCAGCCAAGCACCAAGGACCAGGAGGAGGATCAGGGCTTGGAAAAGTCAGGGGCAGAGAGTGCTGAGGGGAGAGCAAGAGAGCCACGCCTTGGGAGGGAGGAGAGGCAGAGAAGCCGCGGGAAGGCCAGCCAGCCGACTCCAAGTGTCCAGATGGCAGCTCCCGGGGACAGCATCTGGGTCTTCTGTTTGCCAACAACATGGGGTACACGCCATGTTCTCAGCTACACAGACGCACGCGCCCCCTGCGGGAGGCGGTCTCTCCACCAGCGTGCACAGAGCAAGGCCGTGGGTCAACCGGCAAATAGATGCAGAAGGAGTACTGACCTTCGACCCTGGCCCCCGCCCGCCGTTACAGACATGAACCCAAAGCTCTTCAAATAAAACTCCTAACCGGATTGAAGGAGCTCGTGGGAGTTCTGGGTGGCCCTTCGGGAAAGAGAGCTGTGCACGGCCCACCTGTGCCATCCGGCATCCCGCAGACGTAGCTGGGCAGCATCTTGACGGTGGCCAGCAGGTGGGTGTCCCTCTTCAGCCCATACTCCAGCTCAGCCCGCATCTTGTCCCGCACGCCCACGAGCTGCTCCCGGGTCAGCCGGAACAGAGCCAGCACCTGGTCCACCAGCTTCCGCTGGGCCTGCACGCGGGCGGCCACCGCCGTCACCATGGCTGCCCCCTTGGTGCTGCCACTCTCCGACAGGAAGAAGCGGACGTCACAGTTCGGGACCAGTCTCCTCACCACCTTGTGCAGGCGTTTGGGGTATCTGAAGGCAGGGGTGATGGCAAAATACAGAGCAGTCATACAGGCCCAGCCCGGCCAATGGAACAGGCGCAGGGCAGCAGGCTCACCCCTTTAGTCGCAGGTGGTGCGGGGGCAGGGAGGGATGGGGGGGGGCAGGGAGGGATGGGGGGGGGCGGGCAGCTGGGGCAGTGGACAGGACACTTGGGAGGCTCGAGGAAGTAGCTATTTTACCACCAATATTTCAACTGGTAGGGCATGTCCATGCATAACATGTTGGCCAAACATTATCGCTGCCCAAAGGGGAAGTGCTTTCCCAGCTCCTTCCGGGGGTACCCGCCTGACTCCCAGTACCACCTCTGTTAGCCAGAGAGTCGTGTGCACTCCCTCCTTCTGGGAAATTCTCGTGTCCACGTGTTTCCTACCAGAATCCTTCACATGAACTTGGCAACCTCTGTCATCTGATTTCCCCCATGTATAACTGGGTGTATTTTTCCAGTCTTCCCACACAGTAGGTATTCAATAGTCATGGACAGATAGATGAATAGATGGATAGAAGGGTGGCCAGATGGCTAAACACAGAAATGGCTGGCCTTGCTAGTCAGGCAATTGGCTTTAGCAGCGTATTTCTTTAAGAGTGACCCCCCTCCCCCCCAAGCCACCCCTCACCAAAGCAACCCAGACAGCTAGCCGAATGCAGCCTCTGAATTCAGCCTTTCCCCTGAATTCTCAGAACCAATGGGAGACGCTGGTTCCAGGGAAGCAGCGCAGTTGGAGCACAAGGGGACCCTGCTCCAGGGAGGCTCATGCGCGGGGTGTGGCCGCAGCAGCACTCACTGAGGGTGTATCTTGTAGACGGTGCCGTCCACGCCCACCGTGGTCCGGAGCCGCACCAGCTTCTTGTTCTCCCGGAGGCGAGTCAGGATGGCCGCCAGGGCCGCCGCGCAGAGATTGGCCGAGCGGAAGGAGACGATGGTGCAGACGTGCTGGACCGCGATGCAGTCGGCCTCCGAAGGCTCCAGGCCCAGGTTCGTGAGGATCTCTCGTGTGTTGGCAAGGCCTTCTTTATACCTGGCCGGGGACAGGAATGAGAGGACCGCCCTTTTCCCTCCATGGAGAGAACCAGCTTTCTCACCTCTCAGGGCCGTGAAAAGAAACAGGCTGGCACATAGTAATCTACTAACAACAACATCAGGAGGGATCATAGGAGCCACCACTTGTTGAGAGCTCCCTATGCGCCAGCACTTGTCTAAGGATTTGACAGGTATTAACTCAACGCTCACAACACTCCTGGGGGAATTCTGTCATTACCCGATTGCTCAGAAGAAGGGACCTGAGGCACAGAGAGGGCTAGTAACTTGTCCACAGTCACACAGCTAGTAAGTGCAAGGCTCGGGATTTGAACTCAGGCAGTTAGATTAGAGTCTACCCTTTTACCCACCTTGTACTATACCGTGTACTATACTGCCTTTCACCGAAACTCAGTCCCTGCCAAGCTCTGCACAAATACGGACGCTGGGAGTCACACGCCATTTCGCTGAGCTCAGAATCTAAACTGATTACAAAGCTCAGGGCAATGCCAGGGTTTCTCCGCCGGAGGAACCGGACATAAGTTGGCTGGGGCCATGCCCACTGCAGGGACCTGTGTGTGAGGTCTCAGATCCCCAAAGCCAAAGCCAGCCCCCAGCAGGACCAGGTAGAGAAGGCTCTTGTTATGACAGGAGTTCGTAACTTGGATTCCATGAGTGGGCTTTAATGGGTCTAAGGATGCCCTGATATCATAAGTAAAATTGTGTGCAAATGTGCCTTTTGGGAAGAAAAGGTGCAGAACTTGAATCTGATCCTCAAAGGGGTCTGTGACCCTAAACATTTTAAAAATCACAGCGTTAGGGGAAGCAGAAGGCAACAAAACATGAGGAGGGTAGACCTCCGTCGGCCGATTCCCAGGCTGATGAAACCCACCAGAAGCCACAGCTGAGTCACAACAGGCACTGCTAACCCTCCTCAGCTGTAATCAGGTCTAAAATCATCCTGGTGAGGCCCTGCTCAATGGATAGAGCATCAGCCTGCAGACTGAAGGATCCCGGGTTCGATTTCAGTCAAGGTCACATGCCTGGGTTGCAGGCTCGATCCCCAGTAGGGGGCGTGCAGGAGGCAGCCAATCAATGATTCTCTCTCATCATCAGTGTTTCTAACTCTCTCTCCCTCTCCCTTCCTCTCTGAAATCAATAAAAATATATTTAAAAAAATAAAAATAAATCACCCTGATGAGAAAGAAGACCTGGTCCCTTCCCTTCCACTGTACCCTTCTCATGAGAAGACCGCCCTGGCCGCCCACCCTGCACGAAGACTCCGCGTCCAGGTGGGAGGGACCCTCCAGAGCTTACTTCTCCATGGCAGCCACGTGCCGTGTTTCAATCTTGCCCTTAGTGTGGAGACTGGAGGACTTCTTGCCGCCAAACAGGAGTCCTGCCTTGGTCATCTTCACCAAGATGAGCCTGACCAGTTCGCCGAGGTACAGGCCGCTGATCATCTTCTCAAACCTACAGTTTGGTGAGCAGATCAGTGGCAGGAACGGCTCTGATTATGTAGCATCCTTTCCCAAAGCCGGAGCCTGAGCAGTGGAGGGGCTGCTCCCAGGTGAGGAGGCCTCGGTCCCCGTCCCAGCTTGGGGTGCCCTCTCCTCACCTGTAGGGGGGACTAGACTAGAGGAGACCTAAGATTCTTTCCTGCTCACAAAGCGCTTGATCCCAATCACGCCTGGCCATGCGGTGTCATCCTCATATTAGGCATTAGAATCTCAACTTTAGAGACTCACACTGTCCCAATCATGGCGTGACAAAGCCAAATTCAGACGCTTCCAGCTCCCACACCATGCTTCTGTTCCCGAGAGAAAGATGCTGTGTCTGTGACTGGCCTTGGATAGCTAGCTCAGGGAGGTGCCACAATAATGTGGGTGAACTACCCCACCAGGCTGCCCACACCTGAGTCCGCATCCATCGGGCAATTACTAATCATTTCCCAGGTAAACTATTAACTAGAATGTTTATTCTCCAAATGTAATAAGATAGGAAATCAAGGACACCCTGTTTCCTAATCTATTTCATTATTTAAAAAAATTTAGAACATTGCAGAAGCAGAAGGCAACAGAAATCCAGGTTGGCTTTGAGAGAACGGAAATTATTTTAAGTGAAAGGGAGAGGGCGAGGATGGTCAACTCCTTGGGCCAGGACTGCTCCGCATCTCCAGGGAAAGGGGTGGGTGCTGGGGAGCAGGTGCATCCAAAGCAGGAGTTTACTTTCCAGGTGTGCAGTTCTGTGTTTAAATATTTTCTAGGAGGTACTTTTCACCAGGCTTCTTGGAAAAATGGTTTGATCCCAGGGCCGGGGCTGGGCAAAGACACCATCTTCTTCTGGGCCAGGAGAAAAGAGGTGAGGGGAACATGTCAAAGGATGTGGGGACCAGCTTGTGGGGGTTCCACTGGCCAAGTGTGAAACATTTGAACATCAAAATAAATAATGATGGGAAGAAATTATAACCTATGAAATAAAACAATTCTATGTGTCCATATTGGTCTGACTAGATCAATGGAGCGGATAAGAAAGCTCCTTCTCACAGTGAAATAACAATGCATGAACAGAGGAAATGATGCATTGGAATTCATCCATGGATGCTGAAGCTAGAAAATGAAGGTTTCATGAGAAACAGGATGTTTCCATAATCCCAACTATCTTCACCAGACACTCATTCCAGAGGGACTCATAGTAAACATATGGTGGAGAAACTGTTGCATTTCCCCTTAACCAGGTGGTTCAGGTAGCATCACCAGTAACTGAGCAAACACGTGCCTCCAGAGACACACGTCATGTGGGAAGTTCCTGCCAAAAACCCATCACCAGAACCTAATCACAAGGAAACATCAGACAAACCCAAACTGAGGGACATTCTGTAAAATAAATGGCTTTGTATGTCAAGATCGTGAAAAACAGAGATCCCACAGAAGTGTTCAAGATGAAAGGAGGCTAAAGAGACCTGGCAGAAAACACAGTGTGCGATCCTGGGTGGGAGCCTGGGCCAGGACCACTTGTTTCTTTTTGATAAAGGACATTCGTGGGCCAGCTGGTGAATTTTGAATCAGGTCTGTAAATTAGATATTGAACTTACTACGTGTTGATGCCCTAATTTTGATCATTATACTTAGTTTATGTAAGAGAAGGTACTTGTTTTCAGGCAATACACTCTGACGTATTGAGGCGTGAAGGGATGTTATGTCTGCAACTTAGTCTCAAAGGTTCAGAAAAGTAATTTCACACAGACGTGTGTATTTATGTGTATAGAGACATATACACACAAACATAGAGAATGTTACTACTTAGGAAATCTGAATGAAGGGGAACTTCATATGATATTCACAACTTTTCTATAAGTCTGAAATTATTTTTTTTTAAGTTTAGTTTTTTTTTCATGCAACACTTAATGAGTTGCAATAATGTGTACGTGCAGGCAGGAAAGAGAAGTTGCGTGTGCAGCCTGCCTTCAGGGAGCGCGGCGTGTAGACAGCCTGAGGCAGCCCCGGGACCTCCACGGCAGGAGGTGTGGGGTGAGGGCTGAGAAAGGGCCGGGAGCCCAAGGCTGGGAGGAGTCACCAGGTGCTGTGGGCCAGGCCTCCGAGGCAGCAGCGTGTCGGGAGCCCTGGAAACACAGCGAGGCACTTGGCTGATCCTGCTTTCTCGGGCTGCACTGGTCCGTTGGTGGCCACTCACCAAACGCACCCAGAGGTCAAGACCGGAGCCACCTGGGTCGCCCCTGCCTCGCACACACATGCTCCATGCACACGGACCCAATGAGGTGGAGGCAAACCACTGCACATCCTTGGTGTCACTTCCCTCATCTGCCCCGCGAAACTGAAATACAGACCTGGCCTCACACACTCACTGGGACGGGTAACTAGTCACAACTGAAAGCCTCCCAGGCATCAAGTGTCCCCGAGGGACTGGGTGTTTCCTGGTGCCGATGCCGATGCCCAGACTCCAGCACAGGGCAGGGTGGGGCGGGGGGGGGGGTGCAGGAGGGGGGGCACTCACAGCTGCTTCCCCGGGTTGAGAGAGCCGAGGTCCAGATCCCGGTCGAACTCCGTGCGGATGTCTTCCAGGGCCCCGTCGTCCCCAAAGGCCCCCCACTCGGTGTTGATGCACATCCTCCCCTCGTCGCCTTCCACCAGGTCGATGTTGCTCATGTCCTCCATGTAGCACGCGTTGGTGCCGGTGCCTGAACAAGGGGTCAGAGGGAAGATGCACAGACGGCAGGCTCTCCGCTGGGCAGGCAGAGAGCTCTGACCTGCCCGAGCTTTAGACCTGAGAGCTCTCGGATCCACCGCACAGCGCCTTAGCCCTGAGAGCTCTAGGAATACACCGCACAGGGCCTTAGACCTGAGAGCTCTAGGAATACACCGCACAGCCCTTAGCCCTGAGAGCTCTAGGAATACACCGCACAGCCCTTAGACCTGAGAGCTCTAGGAATACACCGCACAGCCCTTAGACCTGAGAGCTCTAGGAATACACCGCACAGCCCTTAGACCTGAGAGCTCTAGGAATACACCGCACAGCGCTTAGACCTGAGAGCTCTAGGAATACACCGCACAGCGCCTTAGCCCTGAGAGCTCTAGGAATACACCGCACAGCCCTTAGACCTGAGAGCTCTAGGAATACACCGCACAGCCCTTAGACCTGAGAGCTCTAGGAATACACCGCACAGCCCTTAGCCCTGAGAGCTCTAGGAATACACCGCACAGCCCTTAGCCCTGAGAGCTCTAGGAATACACCGCACAGCCCTTAGACCTGTGAGCTCTCGGATCCACCGCACAGGGCCTTAGCCCTGAGAGCTCTAGGAATACACCGCACAGCGCTTTTGATCGGGGGCTGGTTC